GGCTCGTGCCCGGCGCCGGCCCCGCCGGCGGGAGCCTCTCATTCCTGTTGATGCTGAGGGCCGTGCCTGTCCCAGGCTCCGGGCTGGTGGTCTGGACACAGTGGGCCTCACACGGCCCCTTCAGCCGGACCTCCAGGCTTTGGAGCAGCTTTTGTCCCGGCAGCAGCGAGGAGTTTATCTCGAGTTGCAACTCAGGACACCTGTGCAGCGGCGTCAGGATGCTGACCGGGCTGGGGCTTGGCCTCCTGCCCGCCGCTTCCCGCAGGCTGGCGCTGCTCATGGGCACAGCGCGCCACCGGTCTCTGTCCCAGGACAGGGCTGCCGTGTGAGGAGGGGATGTCGAAACCTTCTGACGGCCACCCGAGGGCTCTGGGGCAGGCCGTGTGTGCGAAGAACTGCCATGCACCTCCAGGACTGCAACCCACCAGGGTCCCCACCCCAGCACCTCGCACCCCGGCTGTGGCTGGGCACTGCGTCCCTGGCTCTGGTGCACGAGTCGCAGGGACTATGCAGTTAGCCTTAAAATTTAGCGAGAAACTGTAAGAACCTGTTCTTCAGCAGCTGAGTAAAAAAACGTCCTTGTGCTTGTATAGGCTTTGTTTGTGCAAAACAGAAGAAATTGCAAAAGCAACCGTAACAGGCAACGAGTTTTAAATTTTGGAGACTTGTTGACAATGTTTCTTATCAAGTCAGGAATCAGCAGCTGAGGAAGCACATAATTCCTACCAAAGCAGTTGAGATCTTGGACTCCGTGGAGGCCTAGCAAGAAAGGCAAGGGAGAATAGGTGCTAGAAAGAGGCAAAGTTTAAGACCACAGAGACATAAAATAAATGAAAAATATACACCCTTTGGAAGAGATTATTTTAACCATGTTTCACATTACTAATTTCTGGTACCATGCATTGAGTCCCTTTTAGACAGTGATAGTGAAGCAAATTCTTCTATACTCTCTCAAATCCTGACTTAATTTTTTCATACTTTACAGCACAGGTGCAACAGATTTATTGTTATTTTTAATCAGTTTGGAAAATAAACATAACACTTCCCACATATAATTTTAAATGAGCAATATCCTATTTTGATACAAGGGATGTGCTGTCTGTCTGGATAACATTTAACTATATAAATGGCAGTCATCAATTTTCTTTAAATTAAGCTAAAACAGGCAGATGCTCCTTGAGGATCTGTGCTAGCAGCTAGCTAGCAGAGAGTGGCAAGAATTGAAAAAAATATCTGAGGAAAAATATATTTATCCTTAGAAAATGGGCAGTATGGATGTATAAAGTTAACCTCTCTATTCTGTGAATAGCTTCATCCAAAATAACCATCTTACACTCAAATTATTTTTAAGAAGGCATAAGTTCTGGAGAAGCTGTGCTAATAACAAAGTATGACTTTTGGAGACCAGAAGTGTTGTACGGAAGACCTGGCATTCTGGTTCTCCTAAAACAATTAGCTTCAGGTACTGAATCTTATTGATAATATTTAGAGATTATTCTTTCCATTTACCTATTGTAGCCAGAGTTAAAGTGCTGTGTCATTGCAGATGGCAGATTTTCAAGGAATCGAGAACTTGCTCAAATAATATCTGAGGGAAGGCTTATACCATGTGCCCTGAGATGATCTTCCTCAGGATGGTTCCAGAATATCTCAAATGGAAGCATTTCCTAAATACTTCTTGCAGTTTTTTTTAAATTTAATTACACTTTGGGGAGCTCAACACAGCTGTGACTTAAGGCACTGAAAATAGCTGCTCACTTGGAAGTAGTACCCTTCTGGGCTGTAGAGCAAACCATTCCTCAGGAGAAGTCAGTGCACATTCACAGAGTTTTATATCAGACAATCATAGAATCACAGAATGGCATAGGCTGGAAGGGACCTCAGAGATCATCTAATCCAACCTCCCTGTCATGGGCAGGGACGCCTCTCAACTAGACCAGGCTACTCAAGGCTCCGCCCAACCTGGCCTTGAACACCTCCAGAGAGGCGGCATCCACAACTTCTCTGGGCAATTTATTCCAAAGTCTAACCACCCTCATACTGAAGAATTTCTTCCTAAGATCTAATCTAAATCTGTTCTTCTTCAACTTAAACCCATTTCCCCTTGTCCTGTCAGTGGACACTCTTGTAAAAAGTCCCTCCCCAGCCTTCCTGTAGGTTCCCTTCAGGTATTGGAAGGCAGCTATTAGGTCCCCCCGAAGTCTTCTCTTTTCAAGGCTGAACAATCCCAGCTCCCACAACCAGTCCTCGTAGCAGAGGTGCTCCAGCCCTACATTTAACTGGATTTTAGAGGTGGAAACAGTGAATTTCAGGGTCTGCTTCCTTTCCCTAAGCCAAAGGAATCACCACGGAGCCTGGTAGTTCAGCTCTAGCCTTTGCCATTTCAGAGCCCTATGTTGACCCTGTCAGGCATTCCCTGAGTTAGGTGTCAGGATCAATAGTAGGAAAAAAAAGATCTCCATAGTGGAGACATGAAATTGCAGCTTGAAGCTGGTGACTAATACCAGTCAGTGTAAGAACAGAGGATGCTTGAGCAGATGCCAGACTAACGCACATTAGTGTTGCTTACCTGCAGAAGTAGGATAGTTGTACTGGTGCTCTCCTGCAGCCTGCTTGCTAAAAATGCATTAAGGAGCCTTGAACTGTATTTCTAGAAGAGGAGTTATCTCATACCTATTACGATTTAGGAGGACTGACTTTGTTGTTATAGGACTGAAATTTAATATTTTTTTTCTTTTCCCTTTTAGAATACAGCTAATGCAGTATGTAATTTATGGCATTGCATCATTTTTCTTCTTATACGGAATAATCCTTTTGGCAGAAGGTTTTTATACAACAAGTGCTGTGAAGGAGCTTCATGGAGAGTTCAAAACGACAGCCTGTGGCCGCTGCATCAGTGGAATGGTGAGTAGCGTTAGAAACGGGAACAGTCGTCTTTGCTTGCTGTAACCTCTTGGGCTCAGTTTGACTCCTGTGGTTTTGAACCTCAATATCTTGCTGCCTTCTTTGTTTAAATCCTTACGGGTTGTCAGAGTCAATCCCTGTTGCTGGTCCTTCTTGGTCAAATCCAAATTCTGCAGATGGACTGTCAGGGTGCTACTGTGGTCTCCCCCATCATAAAGCGACCCATTGGTGTAAACTAAGTTGATGGAGACTGCTAACTTTGAAACACTGAATGAAAGCCTTAATGAAATTTGCGCTTTTAAACATGGAGCAGTGCTTAAAGGCAGACTGTAGAATGGCTGTGGTTTGCAGAGCTATTTAAATAACAAACTGTAATGCCTCTGACTTCCATAGTCATTTCTGCTTGAGGACGTCTGGATGGAAGAGTAATGAATGAAGCTTTGCAACATCTTTGCACTTGAATCAAGTATTGCTGTCTTGCTTTTGCAGATGGCGAAAGGCATACAGATGTAATAGTGAGTCTTTTTACAAAGCTGAAGTACTTAAAGCCTTAAAGTTACAAGCCTTCTTCCCTTCAGTGTACTTCTGTGTTAGAACAAAATTTTAAGCAAAGTTTAACTGAAAATAAAACTTCAGATTCTCACCCACGTTGCCCCCCAGGGTGCACTCTGCAAGAACAGAAACATAGCTGTGTTGCAGAGACAGGATTTCAAAGCTATTTCTGAAAATCTGAATTCAAAGCTCATAGTTATGGAGGAACATAAGCAGTATGACAGATTGCCCACGGGAAAGTGTGGGTGAAAAGAGAAGAGGCTTTTGATGTGATTGTTGCATTTTAATATACAATCTATATCCTGTACTTAAAAAATATGTACTTTCAGCTGGTTAAATACAAAGGAGATGCATGTTTATTTTCAAGAGGTTTGACAATTTTCCACTGTGCTTTGGATGCTTGCTGAATTTTTCAAGAGCTAATAAAAATAAGACATCTGATCATTTTCCACTTAAGCAGCTATTCGCTTGCTCTTTCTCTAGCAAGTATGATCTTCACTGAGGAGCAAAATTGGCTCTAAAGCAGTGTTTTCCAAAGATCCAAAATACAGTAGAAACATACACCTATGTGCATCTTATTAGTACAGACAATTGCTTGAGCAGTTGAGTAGTTGCAGGCACGTGATTGTCAGCTGCTTATACAAATACCAGTGTGACACATGGAAATATGACAGGAAAATGTGTTTTCATGTTTGCCTCTATTTGTCCACGCAATGAAGGAGAGCATTTAGCAGCTAAGTAAGGGCTTGGAGCTCTGGTAAGACACATCAGTGTTCAGCGGTGGCAGTCATGGCATAAAAACGTCTGTAGGTCGCTGCGTAGCAGTAGAGCGGCTTAAAACACCAGGGTTAGAACAAGGTTTGTGAGGAGATACAGTATCTTAACAGACTAGTGGCTGCAGCTGGGTACGGACACAAGCTTTTGGACATACAGTGATATTTTTTTTTCTTTTGCCTCTTTGATTAAGAGCTTCTCCACTTCTTCCTCTGTTACGTTACCAAACGAAGTCCTGGAAGTCAGTCCCTTCCATCTTGTGTAAGGTTATTGCAGAAGACAGACTTCCAACTTTCCTAAATTATTTATGTTGGCTGTGGTAATGCAGAATAGCGATTTCCCACAGTTATCACATTAAATGTGAGAGCGATTGTGTTTTGTCCTGGCTATTTTAGGAGTTAAAGGCTTTGTGTGCTTCCTGTCCATACGCAGAACCACGTTTTGTGTGTAGTGCATCTATAGGATTCCTTTAAACTGGTCCGCTTGGTCCATACCAAATCCTATAAGAGAATTCTCAATTCTCGCATAAAACATATAGGTCTGGCGTGTGTCACCGTCTAGTATGAAATAAGTTATTTTAGTTCAGTTGTGTATAAATTAAAGGCTAGCTGGGTCTTTTATAGGCCTTAGTTTTGCAAGCACTTCTGCCTCCCCCCACACTCTACCTCTGTGGACTGTAAAACCTAAACAACTGCTCAGCCTTTGCTGTAACATTTGCAGTGTTGTTCAGCACGTCTGGACAAAACCTATGAGGATGCAAACCTCCACCACTGCAGCATTGGTTCAGTCTGTCAGTTGTGGGTCAAGCTGAGACGACCTCCTCCCCCTGAGCTTTCCCATCCACGCTGCTGTTCTCTGGCACACAAGTTTCAAGTAAGATAGTACAGCATCAGTGCTTTACTGGAAGTAAAGCCTTGCCAGTCAACCTACAGTTAAATAACAGTGAAAAGGGAACACATAGAATCACAGAATGGTTAAAGTCGGAAGGGACCTCAAAGATCATCTAGTTCCAACCCCCCTGCCATAGGCAGGGACACCCTCCGCTACACCAGGGTGCTCAAAGCCTCATCCAACCTGGCCTTGAACACTTCCAGGGATGGGGCATCTACAACTTCTCTGGGCAACCTGTTCCACTGCCTCACCACCCTCAGAGTGAAAAATTTCTTCCTTAGATCTAATCTAAATCTCCCCTCTCTCAGTTTAAAGCCATTGCCCCTTGTCCTATCACTACACGCCCTTGTAGAAAGTCCCTCTCCAGCTTTCCTGTAGGCCCCCTTCAGGTACTGGAAGGCTGCTATCAGATCACCCCAGAGCCTTCTCTTCTCCAGGTATACACATGAGATGTAACAGCATTCCCCCGCCTTCTGAGTAGGATCCAAATTCTCATCTCACCAAGAGGAGGGAGCTGGGAACTGATGCCAAAGTTACTGTTTCACCACAAACCTTAGAAGAACAGGGAAAAGGGAAGAGGTCCAGTGGGAGGGGGAAGCTGGAGATTTCCAAAGCAATGAGTTCCATACCTTATAATCTTACCAAAGAAAATGCATGTAGTAATTCTTTTTTAAAAAAACAGCAAACTCAAATCAGCAAATTTCAATGGAAAATCCACGATTCTCTAAGGTGAAGTGACTACTTTTGTTCTTGGCAATGTGTGTTACATCAGTTGAAACTTTCTGATCTGCTGTAACGGTTGTGGTATGTTTTCAAAAATAGTTATTCTCAAATGTTCACAATTGATTTCAATAAATCAGGGAGTACGGGAGAGCTCTGTGAACACCAGTTCACTCTCTTGCTTTGATTTGCAAGTTGTATAGAAATGCTAGCATGTTACAGTTAACTAAAAAAACCTCCTTAAATTGATTTTTTTTTTTGGCGTTATATTGGTTTTAGCCTACAACCGGCATCCCTGCTTAGCTGAGAGTCTTGAGAAATTAACGGACTGCTCTTTGAGGAGGCCAAGCTGTTTACTCAAGCAGGCTGATGAAAAAGGAAATGTCTGAATTACATTCTCAGTAGCACTTAAACTACCAAAGTCTTTGTAAGCAACGAGAATACTGGTTTTGTTTGTGCCTGGAAATCAATGTTTTATTACTTGATTTCTGAAAGTATGCTTAAATATTACTTTGAAGCATTTTAAAGGAAAATTCAAGTACTGTCTTCAAAGAATAAATGTGAAGTGCTTGTGTTTTCTTTGCCCAGTTTGTTTTCCTCACCTATGTGCTTGGAGTGGCCTGGCTTGGGGTCTTTGGCTTCTCTGCTGTGCCTGTCTTTATGTTCTATAACATATGGTCAACTTGTGAAGTCATCAAATCACTTCAGACAAATGTGACAGTTCCAGGGGACCAGATCTGCGTGGATATCAGGCAATACGGTACTTATTTTAATCCTGATTAAATGCTTTATCCTTTCTCCTTGGTCTGTCTTCAGTAGTTTTGTCTCAGCCTTATCAAATGAACCAAATGCAAAAGCATCTTGTATCTCTGAATGTGCTATTACTTTTCTAATTAATTCAGATTACACTGATCTCTTTCCAGATGCAATCAATTTAACTGAACTGGCAAGTCATTTATCTAAAATGATGTTGTAGCCGTTTCCAGTACTATAATATTAGGTTTAAAAATAGTTCAGCCTCAAAATAAACTGCTTAGAAACAGTGCTGCGAAGTAGATAACCAGATTCTGTTTTTTGAACCCATATGCATACATTCTTTCCTTTCAAAAAGCTGGTTTTACATTTAAAGACAAAGTTAACACCTGAACTTTGCTGTTACTTTCAGTTAAAAGACCAAAAACCTGCAATTAAGAATGTGCCTTAGAACTGTTAATGAGTTAATACTGCTTTCTGATGACACACAGAAATCCGAGGGGGTGCAGGTAGCAGAGGAGTGGGACAATGGCAGAGAAGCAGCTGGCTTTAAAGTAAATCCTGTAAAATCTTTTTGAAAGCTGAACCATCCTGAGATAATTTCAATGACCTGCCCCTTACAGAGTGGCTAATTCCAACCAGCTGAGTTTGAAAGGAAGGAGACAAACGGGTTTCCTCCTGTTTCGAATGGCTTTTGCTTAAGCTTTACATCTGTTACGGGCCTAAAAGTTTAGGTTATTTTAAACCTTCTAGATCCTGTCAACTTTTCAGATTTTCAGTCATGTAGGAAAAGTAATTGGGAGTACGTGAGGTGCGGCAGACTGAATTTTCTTGTAGCAGTGTTCACGCTTTTTTACCTACTGGAACTAATCCAGAAGAAATTCCTTCTGTAATTCTTCCCTCTATCTCCATATTCACACTATTCTACAGTAGTTACTTGTTCAAGTAGAACTTAATCTAGTAAGTGCTATCCTGAAAGGTGCCAAGTACCTCTGAGATGCAGATTATCCCCTTCCGTGCTGAGTGGGAGAGTAGGCAGTATGTGGCTGGACCTGAAGCGCAAAACCCAACCATTTGGCTGCCAGATGGGAAAACCACATCTGAGAACATGCCTTGGCAGCGAGCCTCGGTATAGGGAGAAGGCACAACTTGAGTGAGTTGTTTTAATTC